TGGGGGCGGGGCGGGGGGGAGAAGGAACCATGCATCCCAGTAGCTTGTCCTCAGCCCCAGGGGGAAGGGGTGGGGATGACACACCCTGGAATGCGAGGGGGAGGGATATTGCCCTGGATCCCGAGGCGGGAGGTGCGACTCCCTCACCCCAGGGAAAAAGTCCCCTCTGGAAGTCCCGGGACTCTTAGACCTGGCCAGGAGGAAGAATGATTAGGTCTCGGGGTGTGCTGGGGGGACAGTGAGTCATCAAAGTCCTTGAAAATCTCAGCTTCCATCTCCCCAAGTCTTGGAGATTCCGGGATGGGGAGTGCACAAGAGCCCCGGGTCCAGCCCCTTCCCCGGTGAGGCCGCCCCCCAGGCTGCCCCCAGAGAATTCCCTAACTCCGCCAGGTCGACTTGCAGGCTCAGAGTGGACGCCCCGTCGTGGAGCCCTGGGGGACAATGCCCAGACCATCCCTAGCAGAATGGTGTTGGCTCAGAGGGGTCCAGCGGTTTCTCACCCAGTCCCTCTGGATTCCCAGCCCCTCTGGATTCACAGCCCAGCCAACCTTTCTCTCCCTGGCTCCTGGGGTGGCGCTTTGAGCCCAGCCAGGTGTCAGGTCTTGGAGGCAGTGACTCACCACATGTCCTGTGTCAGCCAGTCGTTGGTGCACACGACCCTAAAGAGAGGCTGGGGACAGAGGGAAGCATGTGTCTTAAAACATGTGCCCCCCACCAATCTAACTTCCTTCAAAGCCCAGGGTACCACTCCCCACCCTCCTCCCTACTGGGTTCTGGTGACATCCCTTCTCCTATCACAAAATATATCTAGAGGCCTTTCCCAGAATGCCTCTCCCAGCTCCAGTGGGTGGGGCTTGCATCGGGCCAGCCCTCCCCCGCCCCTCCTTCCATCTCCCCTTTGCTGCTGCTTCCCTGCCCTGCCCCCTCCTCTGATCTCCCTCCGGGCCTCTGCATTTCCTGTCACCCCTTCTCTGTTCCCTGGGCTCTGAACCCTTCCAGGCCCAGCTATCCTGCGCCCCCAGGTCCACGCTGCCCCCTTTTCTGGGAGTACAGCTTTTCCCGGCCTCTGTCAGTCTCGGCCACTGGGACTGGGCTCCAGGAATGCTGAGTGACTCATATTTCCTCTGAAGCCCAGGGCTGGGGATGGGGGTGTCGCTGAGGTGCTGGGCGTGCAGTGAGGACCCACGTGTCTCTGCAGGCGTGACCACGTACTGGCCATCCTGGCGCTGCGCCGACTGGGCCGCCGACGGAACCGGAGCCTCTTGCAACATGCTCAGGATCTGCTGAGGGCTGCGGCCCAGGCAGGGGCCCCGGGGAATACCAGGGAGCGTGTGCTCTTTGAGGAGATCGAGGTGTCCACCTCCGTAGATGTGCTGATCACCTGCATCTAGTGCTCTCTTGCCTAAGAAGGCTGTCCCCAGGTGGGGGGCTGTGGTAGGTGGGGTGTCAGCCACCCTGCCCCTGGCGCCGAAACCCAAGCCACAAGCCCAGGAAGCCATTCTGGGCCCTGCCCCAGCTCTGAAACCCATAGTTTGGGAATTTTGTCTTCAGCCAACCAGGCTGCTCAGCCAGCAGGGAACCGCAAAGATGAGGTATTTGAAGCATGTACAGGGGAGGGTTTGGGAGCGGCACTTCGCACCCGGGAGGGTCCCTGCCTTCCTGTCAGCACCATCCCCCAGAAAGTGTAGAACTGAGTATTTATTTTAAAAATAAACGTGAATTAAAACGGGGGCCTCTTTAAGGAGGAGCAGGACCAAGCTGGCTGGGAATGAGAGGCCTGGATCTCGTACACCGAAAGCCCGGCCTGGAGGTCTCTGGGGGCTCTCTGGTGGCTCCGTTTGATGGCTGGCTTTCTCCTGCCCATTGACCAGATGGGAAGACTAAGGCAGGTCCGGAGCCGGGCAGGCCTCTACCTGTGACTGCAGAACAAAGCTGGCCAGGACACGGGCTCCAAGTCCACTGGCCTTGTGCCAAGTTGGCCTCTGTCACTTGAACAGCAGTCCAGTCCTCTTTCTTTCTCCCCCCCTTCTTTTTTTTAGTCACCGAATTCGTCTCACCTCCAGGAACCCCAGACCCTGCAGGAGCAGGACTCTGTCCCATCCTAGGCAAGCCCCAGGCCTCTGGGGGACAAAAAGAGAACAGGGCTTGTTCTGCCCCTTGGAGTCTTTGGGTTGGATGTGGGAGGGACTTCCCAACAGTGAAAGTTGCCAGGTTACTGCAGGAGAGCGTGTGCACCTGCATTCTGGCTTTTCTCCAGAAAGCTGTGACCTCTGGGCAAGACTGCTGGGAAACCCATTTGCATTGGCAGCCTTGGGGGTGACAGGGAGGCTGAGCTGAGATGGGGAGCTTTATAGGAAGAAGCTGAGACAAGCACTGATAGATGCCCCCACCCCGTCTGCAGCAGGCCCCCACTGTTTCTTTGGACCTGTCCCTGCCCTTGGCAGGAGCAGGGGACTGGGGGGAGGCAGGTAACAGCAGGTGGGCCAAGATTCCAAGAGACTGTAAAGCTGGGTCCCCTGAGGACAGGGCAAGGGTCCTTAAAAGCTTTGGTATGGGGTGACTTGGGGGGGCGCGTCTCTCCCAGTTCCCTCCGGGTCCCCCCTCCCTGCACTGTGGACAGCTGGGGGCAGTGTCCAGGCAGGTCTGTCCCAGTCCCTCCACCGGGGCTGGAGGCCAGAGCCAGGTTGGAGTCTTGTGGAAGCTCTGGTACCCAAGGGTTGTATGTCTCCCCTGGGAGCAGGTGCCAGTGGCAGTTCCCCTCCATGGGTGCACCAGGGCTGAAGGTCAGGGGTAGGGCAAGCAGGGGATAGGGCGTGGGAGGTGGGAGTGGGGGTGGGATGAGGGAGTATCCAGACCTTCTGGGAAGGGTGGGGGTGGGTAGGGCAGGAATGAGGAAGTGGGAAGGTTGGGGTTCCCAGGCTCCAGAGGCCGGGTGGGGGTAAGGCTTGTGTGACATAGGACTCCGACAAGCAGTCCTTACGTGGATGGAAAAACAGGCAAGCAAGCCGGGCTCGGTGGCTCAGCCTGTAATCCGGTGCCTTTGGGAGGCTGAGGTGAGTGGATGGCCTGAGCCCGCGGGTTTGAGACCCTCCTGGGCAGGCGAGACCTCATCTCTACCATAAATCAAAAAATCAGCTGGGCGTGGTAGTGCATACCTGTAATTCCGGCTACTCGGAAGGCTGAGGCAGAAGGATCACCAGAGCCCAGCGGGTTGAGGCTGCGGTGGCCGGGAGTGGCCACTGCACTCCAGTCTGGGCGACAGAGTGAGACGGCAACTCAAACAAAACAAAACAAAACAAAAAACAGGAAGAGGACAAAGGTCCCTGTTGGTGTACACCAGGCCCTGGCATGGTGGCCTATGCTCCTCCTAGCCAGGGAGGTCAGAGTGGCAACTCTTTTCCTAGGGAAGGGGTCCAAGGCCAAGGGAGGGCAGGTGGTTGACAGACCAGCCTCTCCCCTGTTTGACCCACACGTGACCCCAGTGGCCATCAGTGTCCTGGTGCAGGGATGGGAAGAAGACCGGATGCCTTGGTCTGGTCTGGTCCTGGCCTGGTCTTCCCTGGAAGCCCCTGCTACCCCTTCCCCAGCTTTCATCCCCAGATCCCTCACTGACTCCCTGCAATCCCTGGCTGTGGCCTTGACCCTGACTGGCCTGGCTCTGCCTGAGCCCTTTGGCTGAAGGCCAGAGGTCCTGGGGCCAGGGTTCCAAGCCAGGGTGTGGGAATGGGGGTTCCATCCTGGCTTTGCCACTTTCCACCTATAGGCCAGCCCCTTTATCGCTCTGTGCCTCAGTTTCTCCAGCTGGGAAACAGTGGACCTGTCAGCGCCTCCCAGGCTGGAGAGGGTGACAGAAGAGCTAGCCATAAAGCCAGGTCCCTGGCCTCCCTGTGATCCCATGTTCCCAGGGATCCTGCCAGGCATAGTGTCCAAGAAAAAGCCTAAAGGGCCCAGTGTGGAAGAATTCTGAGGTTCAAGCAAAACTGGTGGTGGCTTGAAGTCACCAGGTAGGGGAGACCCCCAAGGAGAGGGGGCAAAGAGATGCCCAAGACGGTAGCCTTGGCCTGGCCACAGCTGCACATGGCAGTGGGAGGGGTTTCGGCTTAGACCCAGGACTGTCTTCCTGTGGGTTTCTAGGCCCAGAGACAGGAAGTCAGTTTTCCTGGCAGGAACTGTGTGCACATGTGTACTTGGGTCTCCGTGCAAGGAGGGTAAGTATGCACCCGCATGTGCGTGTTCCTATGGGCCCAGCAGTGGCGGGGACTGGGGTCAGCTCCCAGGTAAGTCAGGCTGAACGGGAGACAGGCAGCTCCTACGAGGGTGCAGGCAGGGAGGCTGGGGACAGAGGGTCTGGCCACTGTCCATTGTGCCCCCGGGGTAGAGGCTGTGCTTTGGCCTCTGCCACCCCCACTGCCCACCTGATTCCGTGAGGCCTTGCAAAGAGCCAGGAGTGTTTCCTTGTCCATCCTATTGTCCAGGCCGAGTGTGGGCAAGGGAGGCGTGTCTGGCTCTCAGAGCTGCTTTCGGGTGGGCTGGCCAGGTTGTCCGGCTGATAGAGAAGTTAAGTGTGTGCATGCACGTGTGTGTTCATGGATTTGTCAGCCCCTGTCATCGACCCCCAGACGGAGGCCCCTTGCCCAGCTTCACCCCACCCCCCACCTCACAGAGCAGGACAGCCTGGGACCATCTGCCCCTCCAGCTTGGATCCCAGGCCCTGCCAGCTGTTTCCTGTCCCCAGCATCTGTGTGGCTCCTCTTTAGGGCTCAACTTGGCTTTTCCCAGTGTCCCCCCATGTCATGGAGCCCCTTCCTGGACTAGGGGTTGCCTCGGGTCTCGGTCACTAAACCTGGGACTCTTGAGACAGGTGGCATGCCCTGAGAATTGTCTGGGCTCTGGCCCAGGCCCAGCTGGGAAAGCAGTAAGCAGGCCCAGGGGCCCATGCGCCCAGGGCAGGCGCTCAGGTCTGCAGAGGTGCTGGACTGTGTGTGTGCTCTTGTATGTACGTGCACACACATGTGCCTGCAGCCCCAGGACAGCGTGTGTGGTGGGGGAGGGGAGGGAGACCTCTTCCTCTTGGTCTCCTGGTGAGTGTTATGCTGGAAAAGCCCTGGAGGCTGAGTCTCAGCTCTGCCTGCTCTAGCTGGTGACCTGGGCTCAGTCTTTTTATTTGTTCCATGGAGGAAATGTCCAGTTGGGAGGGAGCTCTAGGGTCAGTGAGACTGTCCACAGAGGTCCTGGCACGGAGGGCATGCTGTGAGTGTCAGTGTGTCACCTCCAGGTCTGCATGGCCTCTTCCTCTTCCTTCCTTGCCTGGTAACTCCAGCCTCTTCCTTCCTGGCTTCAGCACTCTGCGCAGCCCTGTGCATGAGGACAGCACCCTCACTGCTGCCCAATGGAGAGAGGAGGCTGTGAGGTCTCCAAGGCTACCCCTTCCTTGGTCTCCCTTCCTCTGCTATCACAAAGAAGTCCCTTTGGGAACTGCACCAGGCCACAGGGGCCCACCCACCAGGGTCACTGTTTGTGACCATCCATCATCAAGCTGGGAGGAGGGGCCGGGACTGGGCTGACCTCACCACACTGCTCTTCCCCGCCTCCGTCCATGCTGGGCAGTAGGGGTGTGCTGGCCACTGTGATGGACAAGGCTGCTGTCCGCTTGGCCTCACAGGACTCTGCTCTCCCAGGGAGAACTGGAGGGAACTGAAACTTGTCCATATAACACTCTTCAGTCCATCTTCTGGGACCTGGGCAACCTGGACCAGTCATTGCAAAGGCCATTCCTCCTCCCAGGGATACCCAAACTTCTGACTATCAGCACACATGCCCACCCATCTATTACCAGTTTTAAAAAATGTGTTAAAAGCCGGGCTCAGTGGCTCAGCCTGTAATCCCGCGCCTTTGGGAGGCTGAGGTGAGTGGATTGCCTGAGCCTGCGGGTTCGAGACCTGCCTGGGCAGGTGAGACCTCATCGCTGCGATAAATAAAAAAAAAATTAGCCGGGCGTGGTAGCGCCCGCCTGTTATTTCAGCTACTCAGAAGGCTGAGGTGGAAGGATCGCCAGAGCCCAGCAGGGCGAGGCTGCAGTGGTCGGGAGCGGCCACTGCACTCCAGTCTGGGTGACAGAGTGAGACTCCAACTCAAAAAAAAAAAATGTGTTAAATATTGTCATTTTTAGCTGGGTGTGGTGGCTCATGTCTTTAATCCTTGCACTTTGGGAGACCAAAGTGGGAGGATCACTTGAGGCCAGGAGTTTGAGGCCAGCCTGGACAACAGTTAGATTCCATCTCTACAAAAAAAAAAAAAAAATCAAAAAAATTAGCCAGGTATGGTGGTGCACACCTGTATTTCCTGGTATTTGGGAGGCTGAGGTAGGAGGATCGCCTGAGCTCAGGAGGCTGAGGCTGTAGTGAGCCATGATCATGTCACTGGGCAACA